TAGACCTCGCAGGAAGGAAAAACAATATCTGAAGCACTGCATAAAAGAAAAATTGTAGATTTCTCATTCGAAAAGGGCTTTGTAAGGTTGGAGTTTGATCAGAATATCACGTTATGCCTCAAATAATAAGAAGAAACTCTTCCCAGCAAGTGTCGTAATTCGATAGAAGCAGTATCGTTGCCTATCGAGAGTGTTGATTATCATTCCATGATATCGCCTGTCGCACTGGTCGGCATCCAAGCACAGTCATGCGGATAATGGAATCAGTGGCTTGCTGAGGGTCACAGTGAACGGCATGCACGATCTCAACGCCTTCCCATGACTAACGCCAGAGAGGACAGCCATATTGTGAGGTCAGCCCTGAAAAACAGTATAACATAATCATATCACGGATAATTAACTAGTCAGGAAATGGGCATGTTTCAGCACGTCCAGTATCCTCTCATACAGAGTGTTGACGTTTGCAGCAGCGTGGACTGTCAGCTCGGCTACCATTACTTCGACTTCTTTTGACAATGCCGCATAGAGAGAGACGTCGACTCTGGTGCGTCGAACGACAAAGCTGACTACATGAGTGGCACAATGTCGTCTTTTCAAATAAGTCCTGGTTCTGCGTGAAGCATTCTGGTGGCCGTATACGTGTGTGGAGGCTCCGCGGAGACCGCACGTTTCCTGCTTGCATTCGATGTCGACATAGGGGCCCCTCACCTGGTGTGATGGTTTGGACAGCCATTGGGTTCACGACACGCACATCGCTAGTTCGGATTGATGGTAATTTGAACGCAGATCGGCGGTACATTTCTGACATCTTACGTCTTGTGCCCTGTCTTCGAGGCCTACCAAACGCCCATCTTTCAACAAGATAAATGCAAGACCACATGTTGCAAGTTGTGTTCTGACCATCCTCGATACACAGGGTATTCGACTGCTGGCCTGGCCTGCACTGTCTCCAGATCCGTCACCCATTGGAAACATCTGGTCATGGATTGCTGAGAGACTGGCTCGCCACCCCTCTCCAGCTAATGCGGTTTATGAAGTGTGAAGATAGACTTGAAGCAGCATGGAATGAGTTGCCCGTTTCTGTCATCCAAGCCCAGCCCAGTTCAACTCCATGCCTAACTGGGTAATAGCTGTTTTAGTTGTAAGAGATGGTAGCTGTTTCTACTAATTTCGCGTCTCTGTAAACCCCCAAACTGCTTACAAATTTAATCCTTTTATCTTCATGCCATACTGCTTACATACAATAAATATCTTTTTTCGTATTTGCTTTCGTTCATGGTGTTGAAATTTTAATTGCCAGCAGTGTATTTACTTTTCATCAAACACTGGTTGACATTCGGAAGTTCTTTAAGGAATCTATTTTTCTGAACAAAATTCTTAATGTGTAATAAGGGTAGTATCGTAGCATATGAAGAAATTTTCTTGTTAGTAATGCTGTATTCCAGTATCTGAAAAAAAATTTTTAAAGGGCACACAATATACATAATTGTTATTAAAAGGAAATTTCACCCCGCTGGTGATGGCATTCTTTCAGTTATTTGAATTTGACACCCTTGTAAGAGGAAAATTATTCCAGAGGTTTCTATCAGAAAAGCATGCTCTAAATTTCTCCATCACTTAGAGCGTTCAAAAGCGAAACTGATTCTGCTAAAAACTTTAAGATATGTACTACAGTCTTACAGTTATGAAATACAGGCCAAGGCTTTTCGGTCTGGACTTTTCAAATACTAGAAATTACTTTTCACAAAGAAAACTCAGTGAAACAATTTTCTGATTTAAAATATTTCAAATTATCAAGAAAACAATTGATTTATAATTGAGTGGTTTTATTGTTATGTAATACATAGAAAAAGCATTCTAAGCTAAAAATTCAAATAACTGCATTAAGCTCAAGCTTTAAGTTTGATTAATCAAGATGAAGATATAAACTAACGCAGTCAACTCGTATTATAACTATGCGATGAATTAATAAGTTTTAATTTTAGTTGAGAACTCTAAATAAAGGTTTTTATCTTTTTTTCCGGTGCTTGACTCAATAATTATATCCGGTATTAAACATGGTGATAAGAAGAAACGGGAGTGGCCACGAGCCGTCCTTACTGTGCAAATTTGGTTAAAGCCTTTTGGTTATTAAACTTTCCTGTCCCCTTCTTTTTTATCGGCCCAGTCAGACTGCTATTTGTATGTATTTCTATTCGTTTTTCATTGTATCAAACATGTTAATAAATATACAGCTTTGTAAGTAAACTAAATTCTTTCTGTCACACTATTAAAATATTTTTGTAATTTATCACAATTAAATTTTAGAAGCATTAAAAGCTTGAAATAAATATAAAATAAACTATTAATAAATGTGTTTGATTAGTAATGATAGACATGAAGATGTAATTTGCAGGGTCCCTCGCCCTATGTCTATAATAAAACGTCGGGGAACTTAGTGAACTATGTAGCGACTTCTCGCTGAGTTCAGAACAACTAAGACGTAGACTACAGAAGAGTTAAATTACCCTTTTGTTCACTCGAATAACAGTTGGCCCTTTCTCGGGCTTACAGGAAAGCCTCTACTCGGGCTTTAACTCAGAATAAGAAATAAGAACTAAACTAAAATTAACTAAACGAGACTTAGGCGAAGCTAGGCACAATTATCTAACGTAGCTGGCCCTTAAATTAAACTAGCCGGCGAATATCAATAGGCACGTATAATATGGCCGAGCGTAACAGCTTCAGGAGTGACTTTGCCAGACTTCTAACTAAATTTCATTCAACTCGATTCTAAAAACTCATTCTCGTAGGGAGTTGTAATTGGAAACACGAACTGAAAGAAATGGTTTCAAAATTAAAATAACTGTTATAAAATTAAAATAAGCCTTACAGATTACAGATCAATTATTTTATCTGTGTTACTTAAATATAGATGAATAATTTAAGTGATAATACTAAAATCCAAATTGTATACAGATATAACATTACTCAATAGTACTTTAAAAAGTCATGGTAAACTTAATATAGTATTTCGGAAATCCTTCCATTAGTAAAAAATTTAAAAAAAAAAAAAAAAAAAAAAAATTGGAAGAAGATAATAGATTGCCTTCTTGACAAAATAATAAAACTTCTAAAATTATTTTCTGTACTTGATGAAAAAATATATAATAAATTATTCCATAAAACATAATAAACAGCACTGATTTGTAACAGACATATGAATGTTAACAGAAATTCAAATTTAGATTCCATGAAAATAGTTACCCAATCTCTTATTCACCCTGCATTTCAATGTATGTTTCATACTATAGCATCCATACTATCAAAAATTCGGCGAGAATTCAAAGTGCATGAAGGAAAAAAAATATAAAATAGATTTTTATATCAATAAACAAAAAATTTTTAAACTACATTCTAGAACTCTAAGGGGCAGATAGATCGCTATGGAGGTCATATAATGCAAATAACTTTTTTTGTTATCTTGTTTGTGACATACATAGAAATGCATAATGACACTAAGGAAATATTATGAAGCAAAAAATTGTATATTTTTACAATTTGAGGAATATATTATATTATTTTTTAGATTTCAGTCACATTACTTACAATATTTATGCATACTATTCTTAAAGTAAAGTTAGTTGAGCTCTTTTTTTTAATTCAGTTTAAATAAAAATTAATTAAATAATTTCCATCTTAAGATAATAGTTCAAATAATTATATAATTCGATAATGCTGTAAGATATTATTTTGCGTATATCAGACATTAAAAATTAAGAAATAACATTCAAATAAAAGCGCGTTTGTTATATCTGGCATTATCTTATCTTCAACGTAAACTATAGACAAATATCTTCAATGCAAAAGTGACCACGCCTAAGGAATTCCAACACAAAAAGAAAGCAGAAACAATGCCAGTACAGAAAAATATAAATTAGTAATTTATGTATAAAAATGACGTACCTAAAAAAGCTTAAATTCTTATTTTTTGATGCAGTAGTTCTTTATGAACATCAGCAGAGTAATAATAAACCGTTGCATCACTTTAAATTTTTAAAAAATGTTGGAAATATTTGTTCGAGAGTATCATTGACGCACATAGCATCCCAATGTAACGAAGGGATGATCGAGGGCCAATAAAAGAATGGATTTGCAGGGTGAAAACTAAGTCGATTCCCGGCTTCAAATTTGGGGCCAAGACACCCCCTTCCATTTACTTCGTAATTCCATTGTGTTAAACTCTCTTACTAGATTATTCTGATAAGTTTCTTAAAATGAGTAGGGTAAAGAAAGGGTGATATATGTAGGAAAAAAAATAATAATTAATTAAAGAGCGGAATATTTCCTCAAAAGTAGATTGTTTCCAATAATTAATGCGTCTGTTGGCAACAGCTGAATTCATTGGTCATTTAGGCATCAGTGAGAGCGTTGTCCAAGGTACATCCCAAGTGGCGACCAATTTAGCACTCACGAGAAGAGGGAAACTACAGGTGACAGGTGAAAGCAGGTCCGGACACCCGGGCGGCTTGCATAGACTAATCGGATATCGTCCGGATCCCGCAACTATCTAAAGCTACACTCCGAAATCAAGAGAGTACATGGCCATTCAAGAGAAAAGTTTCAGATTTTTCTGTATGCAGAACATTCTCCTGGTTACCTCGCGTGTTAACACGCTGCTACACATACTCGTAATACTATACATTTTATAATATGCATTGCATTGAGCATTGCATTGTACTTAAAGTGCATTTACAAAACTAATTGCTACACTTAATACATTATACTATACATTCTATGCTATATATTATGCTGAACAATTCAACATAGATTCTGAATAATGTAATTGGTTATATAAGACATAACTTGGTTATATAAGACATAGTTTTTGATACAACAGGCTTGAGTAAAGAGCAAAATTGCACATTACGAACAAATTACACACAGAATACACGTTGGTTACTTTATGCTGTACTTTTAATATACAAAATACAGATAACAGATTTGAGGACACAGTACAGCTCATACTGCTTTTGATTAAATAATTTTATGCTAAAAGTTCACTGTTGCAAAAATATTGCTGTATTCTGAAAACCCCATCAAAAATAGCTTTGTAATTAAACATTCTCCTGGTAACATTGCTAGATATAAAACACTCAGTATACTATAATTTTTATAATACATATTACATTGAATACTGCACTAAATTTAAGACACCTTACAAAACTCATTTCTACACTTATTACACTGTGGGTATTAGGTACATATTATATTGAACATTACTCTTGGTTATATAACATAGACACTGGTAATAATTCTTGATTATATACAACATAATTCTTAATATAAAGAGCTTTAACCACTGTTAAAAATAAGCATTGAAAAAAAAAACAGAAGAAATAGAACAATACCTTTCATCACGTTACTCTACATGCACTAGATACATTATATGCTGTACTTGCCATACGCACTAAGGGAAAGGACACACACACAAAAAAAAAATCAAACTTTACTCATTCGAGCACGCGCCCTATAGCCTGGAATAGCACTCAGCCTCCGTAGACCTCAAGACCGTTCAGGGCGACAGGCTATCAGTTAGCAAAAGAATATAATGGAATTCTCCTTACTAAAGTAAAACAAATAAGAAAGTTCAAAGTTTTCACGGATAGCAGCATTTATATGATAATCTGGGTCCGGAGATGAGAGTGTTTCCACTGCGTCCTCGAATCTGTTATCCAACTGTCATTTTCTGTCATCGAATGAACTTAGTTGATGAAGTGCAGCTCTAGTCCTCTTATCCGTCGCCATTGATAAACTCTTGATGTCAACGACGGAAATATGTTTCTTTTAAACGCACAGAAGAAAGCCTGACGATTTGTTTCAGACGAGAAACAATCTCTAGGTCCGGATACCGCAGCATATCCACTCCATTCTCTAATCTCTTGTCTGTACTTGTGTCATTTTAATGTAGTTGATCAAGTGCAGCTCTAAGAAGACACTTCTAAGAAAACTCTGAAAGTAAATAAATGCACTAAAAATTTATAGTAATAATTTATTAATAATGCTTAGCCTTCAGATTTCTCGGTATAAAAATATGAAAGCATAAATTGTGTGTACTTGTAGAAAGAACGGATAAGAGGACTAGAGCTGCAGGATAAGAGGACTAGAGTTAAATATAAGTAAAACTATGGAAGATTACAAATTCGTGGGTGTGAAAAATTATTATTAACTAACTTTGCAGCAATTGCGCAAATAACTTGTAATAGTAACTTGTTTTCACACTAAATGAATTTAAGATCATACAACATTTGATATGCTAAATAGCATCTATTAGCGCTATTTATCTCTTTCCTAATGTACCCACTTTATATATTATCTCCAACCTTTTTTAATTTTTTTAATATTTTAATTTTTAAGTTTTATTCACTCTTTTAAAATAATTCTACTTTAATTAAACTTAGGAGATAATATAATCAATTAATCAATATTGTTTAGGAAATAAATTATATATATATATATATGTGTGTGTGTGTGTGTGTGTGTGTAAAAGTCATATTTTTGAAGCATAGGAATCAGCATGCAGTCGTTGTAGCTTATGGTGAAGGCTTACAGATGAAGATAACAAAACATGAACTTTAAAAATTTCCAGTCTTTATTTCCACGCGTATAAAATCATCTCCGTATATATTTACCCAATCAAAATGAAATCCGATACATATCTATCATTAAATTATAATGAACTATGATAAATTTCTATGTACATTGGTTTCTTTAAATTATGACGCAGGCATTTTAGAGAAGTGACGCGGGAAGATGTTAGCAATGTAGAAGCTAGCAGAATAATAATGATGTAATTAGCTCGCCAGAGGTATTTATATCAAAGTTGGTGCGATTCTAGAAACAAGCTATGATTGGTTAGTATTAGTTTTAGTTGCCCTTTTCCAGTAGCGTTACATAACATAGAAAAATCTCGAATCTGGGAGAATAGATGAATTTAGAGGAAGATCACCAAATCTAGAATGCTAATTTTGAGGTCGCCAATAATTTTTAAAGCAGCTATCGTATTTTGTTGTATCTTACATATGTATATATATATACATCCCTCAAGAATTCCAAGTCCCACCCACTACCATAAATTACTTCACCCAAGTCTTACCGACTGATATTATTCAAAGCCCCTACTGCCGCTAAGAATTTTCGGACACCCTACACTTCTGAGTCAGACACGAAGAGAACACTTTGCCAACTCCCCCACTAGAAAGAATGTAAGTTACTTAATACCTTTCTGGCCTTTATAGCTTCATGTACATTCACTGATCTTATTTATATTGTTTTCTATATTATTTTTATATTTTCTTTGATTTGTTTTTGCAAAGTTTGCATTATTTATCTTTTTTATAATCTTCTATGTTTATTTCAACTTTACTTTGAATTCGATTTTATAATGACAATTTCCAATGTTTAATTTCTACAAATAATATAGTACTCAAATGCATAAAGATGAAAGTGTCGGGGACGGCTCTTTCATCTTTATGCATTTGAGTTTTACAGGATTTCTCTACAGTAATTGATTTTTACTCCAAATTGAATTGACTAAAATGCTTCATGAGAATAAGTTCTTTGAGTATCAGCATTGGTTCACAATTCCTACTATTCGCGTAAATATTTGGCCTGACTAGAATTGCCGGTTTGGCTTTAACTTATAACTCGAGTAAAGACGAAACACTTTCGTATTTACGTATTTTTATCAATTATTGTTCATTGAACGGGAGTTGGTTTGTTCCCCTTGAAAAGTCAACTAATTTCCGATCAATGACAATGATTACATGTTTTAATTTTTCCTTTTACAATTGAAATATTATTCTTCGTGATGATTTAACTCCAGTCCCTGTTAAAACATTATTAACATTTTGCTTTCAAATTACTTCAAAACATCTTTCAAAATATAACTTACCAATATGGATGCACACTTTTAAAATAATTCTACTTTAATTAAACTTAGGAGATAATATAATCAATTAATCAATACTGTTTAGGAAATAAATTATTTATATAGATAGATATAGATATAGATATAAATAGAACGCGGTAGATATAGAGGAACATTATTAATTAAATATTTTATTAATATTCACTATTTTTTTAATTTTCGCAATTTCGTTTCCTAGGAGGTAATCCCAAAACTCCTTAATAGATACATTCATATACATACATACATATATATATATATATATATAATTAAAGTAAATTATAAGTTTAAATTTAAAATTTTTTGAAATTATAAAATAAAAAATTATTAATTAAACTTACAATTGGAAACTATAAGTATTTATTATTGTAAAATAAAACGTCAGCAGCCTTGGGCTAAGAGTGAAAATTTACTGTTAATACTAAAATCCAAATTTAAATGAATAAGGCTAAATTAAAATACGAGTAATTATGAGTGAAACTGATATGCAGTTTTGAAATCAGTTTCCCTCTGCAAACTTGAGGAGGTGGTGAGTGAGAAACTGATACTATAGAGCATCTGGTACACAAAAGGACGTTTCATTCTCCTTAACGCATCAGATTTTTTTAATTTAAAATTTAAAATAAAATTACCAGAAAAAAAAGACAAAAAATCTAAAAGGTTTCAGGTTTTAAATTACGTCCAAAGAGGCGTTTTTTTAACGTTTTGTGTGTTACCTTTATTTATTCAATATCATGTTCTACGTACTCAAACAATAAAATTCAATTCAACAGCAATATCGCAAAGTAATTTTAAAATGAGTATATCTTTGGAATTTCCGATACATTTCCGCGCGGTGGAGATAAAATAGTTTTTCTCTTCATACAGTGTTGCCATTGCTCGCTTTGAAATCGTTTAGTTTTTTAGTCAAAAATTCGTTGAAAGTGTTACAAAATCTGAAATCGATAATAAAACAAATTTCTAATTCAAATTAGGGCTTCCACATGCCCATATTCTATGGAAGATTACGTTATTCAAATTTTGATGGCTCTAGGTACTGTTGTTTTATTACAATGCGAGAAACATACAGATATTTATGCAGATTCTTCATTATTTAATTTCTTTAAATATAAGACAGGGCGATAATACTATATGGTGGCAATAATTTGAAAAGTGATACAGCCTTTAAAGCTTTCAACGCAAAATGCCAAAACGAAATTTATAATTAATAGTCCTTCAGGACAAATTGTCCCTTTGGACTAAAAGTGTAATATACGTATGCATCTTATAAATTTAGGAGACCACCTCTACGTATTTTTAGGTACCAACAAAATTGCAAAAATGTAAAAGAATCCTGAGTAAACAAAAATGGCAAAAAATGTCGCTGCATTGCCAGTTTAAAGCGAAGAATTTATTACTATACTACAATAACTGTTTATTTCTCTATCCTTTAGCCAGATGATATTTTAAAGAAATTATGTAGCCATTTTACTTTTACTATAAGAAATCATGTAGACATTTTACTTTCCCAGATATTTAGTAGCCAGTAGCAACCCACATGGGCTATTTTACGGCAACCACTTAACCTTGATCTTGACACAGGAGAGTCCTTTTACGGTTCTTACTTTTGATCTTAACCGTTCGGATTAGCGGTGCAGGAATATTCAACGTTATAACCGCTTTATAGCATTTTGTGCAAGAGCCGGAATACCGGGTAAAATAACCTATAATCGCGACATATAAAGGAAGTTGGAGACCTTTTAAGGTCACCTAGAGTTAAGAAAGCATTAAAATTTTCTCTCGCTACTTCTATATATAAATATAATTTGTAATATTTGACACGTTGACATAATTTTGTCATCAGAATTGATTCTAAAAAGTCTATTTCTAGCTCATTAAATTTATAAATATTTTATATTATTTTTTATATAATATTTTCTTCAATTTCTTTTAAGAATTGTTCATGTGCACAGCGATATTTTTTGCCATTTTTTTGTACTCACTGACCATGATCATTTTACATTTTTACCACTTTGTTGGTTCCTAAAAAATGCGAAGAGGTGGTCTCCTTAATTTATTAGAGGTATACATATATCGTATTTTTTTATAATTTTATTTTAAGTTTAAAATTTAAAAAGCATCTGATAAGTGAAGGTGTACGTATTTAATTATGGCAAAGCACACTAGGGCTATCTGCCTAAGGGGAGGGATGCCTTCGTGGAAGACTTTCTAAGGGAAACTGGCTCGTATACACGTTACACATAGGGAAAACCACGAAAACGCCCATGCAGCCAGCCCGTTCGCGGGATTCGAACCTCGGACCGAACTACCAGTGTTCAGCGACTTTACCGCTCGGCCGCTGGTAGGCGCCTGATAAGCGAAGGAGAATGAAACGTATTTTTGTGGATCAGATGCTGTATAAAGTATAAGGTGTCACTTTCTCACTGATCACCTCCGGAAGATTTCAGGCACAAACTGATATCATGACTGCATCAATATTTACACATAATTTCTCACATTTAATTTGGTCTAGTTCATTTATATATTTTTTTTAATATTTAATATTATAGTAAACTATCACTTTTAGCCAAAGGCTGTTGACACTCTATTTCCTAGTAATAACTATTTATAGTTTCTAATTTTAAGTTTAATTAAGTGTTTTTATTTTATAATTTAAAAAAAATATATTGCCAAAATATATAATCGACTTTAATTAATTAATTATTTGTCTAATAATTTTAGCAGCAACTTTGTTGGATTAAGTTTTGAAAATACTATTTATATACTTATTTGCTTTATATATATATATATATATATATATAGTTTCATAAGAACTAATTAGTAGGATAGTTAAATAAAATTAAATAATAAAATTAAATAATTATCTTGAGCCAATGCTGCAAGGAATAAATTAATTGTAGAGACATTAAGTTACTTTTTGGAAGCAGGCAAGATGAAAAATACGGGAAGTTATTTTTTGGAAGCGACTTTGCCGGGAATCGAACCACGGACCTCTCAATTACGCGTTGAGCGTGCAGACCACTACACCACGAAAGCTCGCTAA